GGCAAAGACTGTCAGCAGACCAACTCAGGTCCTTGAATTCATTTTTGGTGCTTATTTAAAAGAACCAGAGGTAAGGAATTAGAGAATTTCAGATTACCATTTGGCAAAACAAAACACTAAACAATAACATTTATTGCCTTGAAGGGGAGCTGGTGACACATTTTTATGTTTATGTTTTCTTATATTTAAAGAGAAGACTTAAGCCAAATTCACAGCTCTTGACTATTGGGTCTAATGTATTCTCTCGCTTTCTCTCCCCTTCTCTTTTACTGCAACTACCATTTCCTGCTACTAAGATTAGCTCCCATCCAGATATCCTTCACTGTCTCTAATGATCTTTTTTAGTCAAGAATATATTTTGGTTATTAATGATGTTAATCTTGCCATCAAGCAGTTTTATTGCTAAAGAACAGATATTGACTACCTGAATCCACCAATCCCAAATTCTAGACTCTTAAAAGTGTTGTTTTAGCTCTCTGCCACATCGCTATTTGATCTGTGTTTTACTCTAAATAACATGACATTGACAATCCACCATTTATATTAACCACAGGAATGCTTTCCTTGGGGTAATTTAAGTATTGCAGTATTGACAAAGTAGGTGAGTTCTGCTGTGTCTTACCTCTGATCTAGAAAAACATCATTGAGTAAATCATTAAAGATAGGATTGTGAAATAACATCATTCTTAAACTATGCCTTTCCAAGTTTTTATGAATATTATCTTATCCTTTTACCACACCCTTAAGAATTTGACATCTAAGGCCTAGAAGGCCATTACTCACCATAAGAAACTCAAAACTAGTCCAGGTAGTTGGAAATCAAGTTCCCCTCTTCCCACAGCCCTTTCATTTACCAGTCCCTAGAATCTTACTGCTTTTCAGTGGTGGTGGTAAAGTAATTTCTGATTCATAAATAACCCACTTAACTCTTACAAAGAGTCCTGTTGTTGAGTGGAAGAAACATGAACTCAAACAAGTGATTTCAAAATCTGTGATGAACTGTTATTCTTATAAAGATATAGTCAGATATGAGAGACATACTGTGGTATTGACTATAATCCCTGAACTAAAACATAGGGCTTCCCCTTTGGCTGATGAATGAATGGTCTATGGAACAGAAACTCAACCCCTGTACTTTCCCTGCTTACTGCCTAGAGGATTCTAAACCAGGGTAAATAATACCTTTTGGCTCTATTAAGGCTATTGGAAAAATTGAATAACTAGAAGTAAAGGTAAAGACTAGCTGTTTAAAACTAGAGCACAACTGGCTAGCACCCATTGTTTAAACATGAAAAAAAATTGTAATAGAATTAAACTTCAAGAATTGAGATTAATTTTTTAAATTAACATTCAAATGATATGAAATTAAAATTCATCTAAAACTATTGAGAAAATTTCTAGAGAAATATCAAACAAGGTGGGAAGCTGGATAATGTAGAGGCACAATCAGAAGTGATTTTATTACTATAGTTATAAAGTTAGTTATTATGACAGGGCCATTGAATGACACGGTTAGTATTAACATCAAGATCCACTTGAAGCTACTAGTGGGCTCATGCCTGTGTGTCCAGTTGCCAACCAGACATCTCAGATTCAGAATCTTAGAAATCTACTCAGTGTGTACAGAACAGAGCCCATCAGACACAACACACCCTAACAATCACCAGCCGCCAGCTCCATTGCCTTTGTTCCTATCTCACTAAATGGTGCTGCCCAGGAAGAAAACCCAGAATCGTCCTTGATGCTCCCTTCCCATCCCTTCTTTCTTGCTAAGAGGAAACCAGAAATGTGGTCCCTATGTACATACATATAGCTTATATTTGCTTGGGAAGCTACAACAAAGATAGACCAATTGAATCAGAAAAAAGATATAAATTATACAATAAATATACAAGACCCCTTATAATTGCCAGTGAATTTTTAAAATATATTTTATTGACTTTTTACAGAGAGGAAGGGAAAGAGATAGAGAATTAGAAACATCGATGAGAGAGAAACATCGATCAGCTGCCTCCTGAACACCCCCTACTGGGGATGTGCCCGCAACCAAGGTACATGCCCTTGACCAGAATAGAACCGGAGACCCTTCAGTCTGTAGGCCGACACTCTGTCCATTGAGCCAAACTGGTTAGGGGGATTGCCAGTGAATTTTATGAAAGCATTATGACATAGGATTTCAGGAACACGTGCAGTCACTCCAGGTGGGATCACTTTGTGGTGGCCAAGGTGTAATTGGTAAGGAGAATCCTGTGGCTTGCTCTGATGACCTGTGGTTCACTAGTACATCAGCCCTGATCCTTTCTACCAAGAGAAAACACACACAAATAACCCTTTGTTGAAGTCTCTTTCTCACTAGTCAGGTTGCCATTTGCAATTTTAATATTTTTATCTCCTGAGGTTCCCTAAACCACTGCTGTAAATGCCTCTTAAGGCTGGTGTAGCCTGTGCCCGCCTCTCTGATGCTGTGTTTCAGCCTCCAAGTGCTGCACTGCAGTGTTCAGGGTAGACAGAGTTCAGTGGGTTGTTAAGACACCACCTCTCCTTACTATGACCTTGCAGATTAGTTCCTACCTACCTATGGCTGTCTGGACTGGTCTGTCCTAAACCACATTGCCATAGCCATTGCTTCTTTATGACTCTTTAGGATAACTAAATATTGAAGCACTATTAAATTATTGAAATATGTAACAGCAGCAGATCCAAGTCTTACAACCATAAAGGGATTTCAATATCACTTGAGGCTATGCTGCAACACTGGCTTTTTGATTATTTCTGGTTACTGTTGATACCATATGATCGATATAGTCACAAAGTACTTTCTGGACAGGGTCCTTCAGCAGGGCCCTATGGCTGTTCCTCCAGCTGCAAAGTCTGCAACTGCTTGAGGAGTTAAGCTCCTGTGTACATCTCGTTGAGTCCTAGAGGTGGAATGACTTAATAGCCCCCCACCTAAGCATGCCATTAGTGTCTCACCTGCTCGGAGGGAAGGAGATTATTGCCATTCTCACACAGCAGGAGGAAACTCTTCCTGTTGCCCTTCCAGATGTTGCCTTTTAAAAACTTTCCTGAAGGACAGTATATAGAGAGAAAAATACATATATCCTAGGAGTACTCAATGAATTTTTTTCTAGTTGCTTTTCTTATTTTCGTTAGAATTTTGCCCCATTGCCATCATATACTTTAAAGTTCATCATCCTCTACACCTGTGATAATTCTGTAATAATATTTTTTCGTGGTTTACTCACAATTTCATGATAATTTTCAAATTTGAGGTAGGCAGTTTCCAAGACATGTCCATCTAACCTGCAGCCTAACATAGTCCCGTTCAGATATTCATAGAACCGCTGGAGAAAAGTGCTGTCTTGCCAGTTGTGAATATAAAACAGTCTAATCTTTCACTTGTAAAAGTTTTAACAGAGTTCACTAATAGTTTCATTTTGTTCTGTATTTACACGTGTCAGCAATTTTTCACCACTTGATCCTAAAATCTCCTGAGCCAGGAACAGAGAAACTAAAATGGAGACCTGCTTTTGGTGCTTTGTGCTTTATGTTCATTATCTAATATCTCACAACAATCCTTTGAAATACTGGTATTCAGCTGCAATTTACTGATGAAGAAACCACGTTCAGAAAGTTTAATTTTCCTCAGATTCTGTAACTACTAAATGGCAGAGTGAGAAGTAGAATGTAGGTTTTTCAGACTCCGCAATCTGTGCTCTTTCCAAGAAAACCCTACTGTTTCAGAGGCAAGAGGAGGATGGGGATGTAGGAGGCTGGTGTAGGTTGGCTAGGGTAAGCTTTCCTATAAGGCACCTCATGGCTGGGAGATAATGTCACAGATTCAAGAAAAGAAGAGTTATCTTGGAGATATTATCAAACAACATCTGTTCAGCACATTTATTAAGCTGCCCTCGGTACTTTGCCATGATACTTAAAGAGTCAGATAATAGGCTTCTGAAGAAATGTAATCCAGAGGGAGAGATTGAGAGAGTGTATAAAACTCCAGAGCACTGGAGCACTCCAGCTGCATGGGCTTAGTAAGACCCAGACATCTAGAAACACCGAGTCGCTCTTGCAAACTCTTGGCTGTCTAGCCAGGAATTGCCTTTGCCTGTTTTGAATCTTGTATGGTCTTTTCCTACTGCCCCCACTATCCAGGTTAAAGTCTAAGAATTGTCCTGGATGACTTATAAAGAGTGAAGGGAGTTCTTTAATGTAGAATGACTTCCTGTGGATTATTATAAAATGGTTATTGAAGGTCTAAGACAATGCCAAAGTTGGGGTTTGACTAAAGACATAACACCCCCTTGTATTGACAAAGCCCTATAGTTTACAATGTCATTTCACATCTATTTTCTCACTTAGAGGCTAGAAATCAGGAATGATTTGTCATTCCATTTTTTCAATGTGTATGAAATGTGAAATTATTGATCTTAGTTCATCCATATCCCAGAAAAGGGGTAGAGGGTCCCTGCATTATTATTTGCAGAACTAAAAAGTCTAGCTAATTGGTTGTGCTGATAAACCATATTAAAACTATAATTTCTCAAAGTATTTTTACACAATGATTTGTAATGTAATGTGCCCGAATTTTTGTCAGTGTTGTCGACTTATAAAACAATAATTATTTAACAGGAGTATCCAGATCTAAAACAAAAGTATATATTGACTAATTGGAGTTAATAACAATACCAAAATTTAGTTTTTTCCAAAAACATTTATTTTCAATATTTCTTCTTTAGGAGATAAAAATTATTTGTGAATGATCATTTAAAAAGTATAAAGGATGTTGTCACTAAAAATTGAGAGTAGAGCAGCCTTATACTTAATTGGATAAAGATTAATTTATTGAAGCAAAAATATGTAGGCATTTAGAAGCAGTTTTGGCTTCACTGTTCACTGTCTTTACAACATGAGTAACATCTGGTGAATTTCAGAATGTAAAAATGGTTCTTTGCAAAATGACCATTCTAATTCCTTCTTTCTCTTTGTCTGTCTAGTGAGAACTCAACAGAGGCAATAGCAGTAGATTCTAACAATCAGTCGAAGTCCCCTCTGGAGAAGTTTATGGTCAAATTGTGCACTCATCATCAGAAGCAGTTCATTCGTGTTCTGAATGATCTGTACACCGAATCTCAGCCAGACACCGAGGACCTGCAATCTTCTGATTCTGGAGCAATGGATGCATCCAATTGCAATGCTGGCTGTGCCCAGCTAGGCATCAGACATAAGGAAAATGATGCTCTGTGTCTCGAGATGAAGTCTCCTCATTCTGTAGATTTGATAGACTCCTCAGGCTCTCACAGTCCTCCACCCTTGGCAGAAAAGGCCCCGAAGGAGCCTCCTCCTGAGACGAACTCTGTAGATGGAAGAGAGAATGCCTTGACTGATGTACAGAAAGATTCCTCTGAACTTCCAACCACTAAATCTAATTCTGAGAGTTCAACGGATAGTTCCACTCTAGGACACCTTAGTACATCTAATTCTTCCCCGTTCAACCTCCATCACACCTCTAAGAGTGTGGAGGGCCAAACCACTGGACAGGAGCAAGACACAAATGTGAAAGCATGTGAGGATGGTAAAGACCATATGCAGAGTTCAGCTTTAGTAGAAAGTCTAGTTGCAGGAAAATCGGCAACTGAAACTAGTGAGGAGAACACTTGTATTGTTTCTCAAAGACATTCATTCAGAGCTTTATCAGAGGAGACTTGGGACTCAGAGTTTACAGGGAATTCATCTAGAACTGCTGACAAAGAGAATACTTTACAGTGTAGCTCCAGAATGCCTTTGTGCCAGGAGTTAGAGGCAAGTGAACAAGATTCAAGGCCAAAGCAAGAGAACCATCTTCACTCACTAGGAAGAAATAAGGTGGGTTACCATTTGCATCCCAGCGACAAGGGCCAGTATGATCATTCCAAAGATGGTTGGTTAGCCCCCAGCCCCATGCCAGCTGTGCACAAAGCATCCAATGGACACTCTCGAACCAAGATGTTGTCAGCCTCCATCAAGACAGCTCGGAAGAGTAAAAGGGCATCAGGGCTGAGGATAAATGATTATGATAACCAGTGTGATGTCGTTTATATCAGTCAGCCAATAACAGAATGCCACTTTGAGAATCAGAGATCAATGTTGTCTTCTCGGAAAACAGCCAGAAAAAGTACTCGAGGATACTATTTCAATGGTGATTGTTGCGAGCTGCCGACTGTTCGCACACTGGCCAGAAACTTACACTCCCAAGAAAAACCAAGCTGCTCGACACTGGCATCTGAGGCAGTGGTCACTCCCAAGCAGACCCTCATCAGTTCACCCCCGAGACCTACAGCGGATGTGCAGCCTCCCAGAGAGGACAACGCTGAAGAGCCTCGTGAAGAAATAACCTCCCCCAAGGAAGGAGACAGTGACACTTCATCTGAGAAGAAATCTCAAGAGCCTGAGGTTTGCCCCACAGTGAACCAACCCAATCCAACCAGCTCCCCGAGGTCAGAGGAAACAACAGCCTCCAGCCCGGCATGCCCTCTCCCAGCTCACCTTCCGGAAGAGGACATGCCCGAAGGCAGCTCCATGGTCGCAGCTCCCACAGCAAGTGGGATTGCTTCCCCTGAACGAGACCAACACCCAGCTGAACTGCCTGATGCCAAGGGGACGAGTGAACCTGAGGACTGTCCCCTGGCTCCCTCTACTGAGAGCTCTTCTGAGGGAGACAGAGAAGATGTTGGGACTAGGCCTAGTTCTTCTCCTGAAACAGTCAGAAGGGCAGAAAGTCCTCTGTGCTCAGAAAATCAAAGTGCCCCCGTAAGCTTGGAGCCTCCCGCAAGCCTGGGAAAGGCTGAGGATGAACAAAGCATCAGTACTGAGGCTGAGACTGAAGATGCCCAGGAGCTGGATTCTGACCCGCTCTTGAAGGAAAGCAGCACTTTGACTAAGAAAAACCCCAGTGACATTGAGGAAAGTAAAGCAGCAAGTAGTACAGAAAAATTAGAGGAAGAAAGTGATGACAGAAAACATTCTTCAGAAAAAGATATGTGCGAACAAACCATGGACACACCTGAAGAGAACTCGGACAAGAAGAAAAAGGGTAAAAAATGCCCTGAGGCCTCAGATAGGTGCCTAAGAAGTCAACTTTCAGATTCTTCCTCTACCGATAAGGACCTAAGAAATCCAAGTTCAGATTCTCCCTCTGCTTGCTCTGAAATCAAAGTTTCTAAAAATCCTGATGCAAAATGTTCTAAAAAAGAAGAGGACCCTGGTGAAACAACACCTGAGGACTTGTTGACCGAGGGTCTCCATCCAAAAGCTCTGGATGACACCGAAAACCCAGATGTCCATGAAAATCCCTCTGAGAAGGATGCTGAGCAGGAGGGCGAGGAAGGTGGGATCATCACTAGGCAGACTTTTAAAAACATGCTGGCCAAAGAGGCCAAAAGAGAAGAAGAAGGAGATCTTTTCCCCAACAGTGATCCTGTTACCACAGTTGGCCAGCCCCTGCCTGGAGAGAGACTGGAAATCTATGTCCAGTCTAAGTTAGGTGAGAAAAGTGCCCATGACCTCTTAGAAAGTGTTCCGTGTCCTTTCCCAGAGCAATCAGAAGAAAAACCAGGACCTGTTCCTGCACTCGACCTGGAGGAGGTTATAAATGAGATGGACGGTGCAAACGCCCAGCATAAAGGTGATGATCATGAGGAGCCACCCATCGTCCTCGAGTTGTCAAGTAGCGATGATGATGCTGGGCCCTCAAAATGGGTACCACGGCTCACGAGACAGTCGTCTTCGAACTACAACCTAAGACATGCTCACTCTCTGGACTCCTTGGATACTACAAACGTGACTTCAGAAAAGGAAGCAGCACAAGAAAACTTAATACCCAAGGACAACGAAGCTTCAGAGAGTGAAGATCCCGTAGATGAGGACGATGGGGAAGAAGTGGTCAACGAGCAGCCAAAGTTTATGGAGTGGTGTGCTGAGGAGGAAAACCAAGAGCTCATTGCCAACTTCAATGCCCAGTACATGAAAGTTCAGAAAGGCTGGATCCAGCTGGAGAAAGAAGGCCAGCCAGCACCAAGAGCGAGGAACAGGTCGGATAAGCTCAAGGAGATTTGGAAAAGCAAGAAAAGGTCACGGAAATGTAAGGGTGTGTTGGAAGCTCAAAAGTTTTCTCCTGTTCAGATGCTGTTTATGACCAACTTTAAATTGTCTAATGTCTGCAAATGGTTCTTAGAGACAACTGAAACCCGGTCTCTGGTCATCGTGAAGAAGCTCAACACTCGTCTTCCGGGAGACACACCTCCCGTCAAGCACCCCCTTCAGAAGTTCTCCCCTTCCAGCCTGTACCCCAGTTCACTGCAGGCTGAACGCTTGAAAAAACATTTGAAGAAATTTCCTGGAGCTACTCCTGCGAAGAACAACTGGAAAATGCAGAAGCTCTGGGCCAAGTTTCGAGAGAATCCTGACCAAGTGGAGCCAGAGAATGGCAGTGATGTCAACCGAGGCCCCAGTTCTGAAGACAGAAAAGAGATCAAGGAAGGTAGAAGTAGCCATCCTTCTACAAGTTCACCGACTCCAGCCAGCACCCGGATCCTTAGGAAGTACTCCAATATTCGGGGAAAGCTCAGAGCTCAGCAGCGTTTGATCAAGAACGAGAAAAAGGAAAGCCCTTCTGGTCTGGCCGTGGAAGGGAAGCAGAGCTGTAAAAGTGTGTGCATCCACCCTCTGATGTCCCCCAGGCACGCCCTGCAAGTGGATGCCTACGGGTTTCCCATTAAACCCAAGGGTGCTGATGGAACCAAGGGAAGGAAAGGGAAGCAGATGTCTGAAATCTTGCTGAAAGCAGAAGTTCAGAATAAGCGCAAGAGGACCGAAGGTGGCAGCACTCAGGACAGGAAGGACAAGGTAGCGGTGATGAAAGCCAGCAAAGAGAAGCATATCGATGGAGCCACCAAGACCCTCGCTGCCAAGAAGCCAGCTGCAAGGGACAGAGTAGGCCAACTGCCCAAAAAGACATCTTTGAAAGAAAATAAAGTGAAGATCCCCAAAAAGCCCTCCGGGAAGAGCTGCCCTCCCTTCAGAAAAGAAAAAGAGAACACAAACAAAAGACCTACCCAGTGCCCTGCCTCAGAGACAGCGACCAAACCTGCAAAGCCAAAGGGGGCAAGTGAATCCGCTTCAAGGCCACCGAAAGCCACGAACAGAAAGCAGAGCAGTGGAAAGGCTGGGGCCAGGCCCGTGGTGAAAACCCCGGAGAACAGCGCAGCCCAGAGAAAGAGAAAGCTAAAGGCAAAGCTGGACTCTTCCCACAGCAAACGGCGGCGGCTGGAGGCAAAGTGACGCCAGGGGCGGGAGCCAGGAGTAAAACTGTTCTGCAGAAGGAACCCTTTATTTTGCATTAACTGAATCCGCTTTTATAAGCTTATCAAGCCTTTCAAACCTGCAGTTAATGGAGATGTCAGAAAATGCATCTCAGATGGAGAAGGAAACTCGCAGTCTTTCTCTGAGGCTGAGTAAGGGAAGTTATATATTATATTCTGGTTGTTCCTTGGGTTTTAAACTTGGAACCGAGCAGTTGTAGTTTTTAAAAGTACAGTGCCTTATTTATCCCTTTTGTGTTTAAAATTTACAAAAGCTAAAAAGCTGATCTATGTGATAAAGGCTTGTATTTTATACTTGATGCACAAGCACTTGTACTGTAACCGAGAAGACCACCGTCATGCACATAAAGTAGCTTTCCAGCAGCTCCCTGCAGTCCGTACATGAACAGACGCTCCTCTCTGCAAACCCCAGCAGTGAACTTCCCTCTCTGTCTGGTTTGTCTGTTTAAATGATATTTGAAAGCTAAACCAAATCATTTTTATGGTATGTGGAGAATGCAGAGGGCATTTATAATTTTTGTAAAAGATTAATATTTGTTACACCTTTTTTTAAAAAAAAAATCATTCATTGTAGGTCACTCCTCCTACCTTTGATCTTTTGTCACATGGAGGAAAAATGGATTCTAAATTATGTGCCCATGAGACAAAAGGTGTGTTGCCAGATATTGATTTTGGCTTATGACCTCTAAAAATTATTTGCAATACTTGTCCTTACCATCCTTTTCATTTTGGGCCTTGAGCTTGCTAGCACTCTAACAAAGTTCCTCCCACCCCCGCTTATAGCTGTAATTTGCCAATTAGGATGAGAGTGACTATGCTAATTTTCTTTTTACCCTGAGTACTTCCATATTCAAAAAGAGCCAAAATATTATTTCCAGTAGTAGAAAAGTTTAATAGTATGTGTGTGTGCATGTGCATTTGGGTACATTTGTCTCTGGCTGTTGGCCACCAATGCCTCCTAACCCCAGTTCCACAGTAAATTCTCTCTTCCCCGTGTACTGTGCTAGGGGATTCGTGAACTGGGAGCCAAGGGTTTCTGTGAACATCCTGCAAACCATTCTGGCATCAGGCTCAGAAAGGTCAAAAGAGCACAGAGTTATGCAGAGGCCACAGCAGACTTGCAGTTGGAGGAAACAGCTCCAGTATCTCATGGTGGCCCCATATGGCCTGCACCCCGATCTAATGTTCATGTGGAAGTACAGGTTTAGAATGGGGTCCTTTCTGATTGGTTAGCACCGTACTCATAGTTCATGCTTGTAGTATCACTCCTGCCTTCGCCATGTCAGGCTCAAAAGCGAGAGCTGCAGTATTTGTAATTGATGATGTTTGCCTTTCCCGGGTGAAGCCTCACAGGGGTGCATCGGCTTTGCCTTGGTGCCTATAACAATGCTCCATTGAACACCGTGTACTCAACATTTCCATTGGGCCATTCTACAAACAGGCTTAGTTGTTAAAGCCTCAGCCAGTTTCTCAAACATGCTCTGTCACCAACACAGACTTATAAGGGCAGCTGCTACTCTGTCCTTTCTATTAAAAGTTGTTCCATTTAGATTGTTTCAGACCAGTTTAGATAAACCCAGATGGACTTTTTCATACTTTAGTTTGTTTAGATCTTGATAAAACGGGCCTTCTGTCCAGTCTGTAAAAGGCTTGCTGTATATGTACAATGAAAACTTCTGATGATTGGATAGGCCTGGAAAAAAGCATTTGATTCATGGGAAATTGAGAGTTGTATTGAATTTCATAGACAGTGAAACCTATCTTCAGTGAAGCCGTGATATATATATTTTTTTCCTAATGTCTCCTCTATCCCATAAGTCTCATTTTTTTTTATATATATATATATATCTTTGACTATGGCCATTGAAGAGCTACCTATGTTAATGAAACTGCTGAGTGTGTATGTTGGCAACCTTTTCTCAGCATTAAGTTGCACAAAAGCATTAATATGTTTTGAGTAAGTTCGTTTAATCTTTTAAAAGTGGTTTTAAAGTTTAAAAAAATCTTTATGTAGAGTCGTCACTGGATATTGTTTTTGTGGTGACTTATAGCTGAGGTTTGCCGATGTCAGGTGTGTGAATTCCTGTACATGCGTTCAAGGTGCTCCCTTAGCTGCAATGGACGACCTTGGAAGGGTGCTTGCATTGTGTTAGAGGTGTGAGGCAGTAGGTGGGTGGAACTGTTCCAGTTCCAGATTTATAATTCATTCCATGACTTTTCTACGTTCTTTTTTTTTTTGGTTTGTTTGTAAAAGTTCATTTCAAGATAATAGCCTTCTCTCCCATTCTAAAAAGCATTTGAGAAAAGTTCATTGTGTGTGTATGTATTTATTTATACACTTAATGTTATAGGTCATCTTTAAAATCAACTTACACTTTATGGTAGTGACTACACTTAAATAGACTGGGATTCTGCATAATTATGAGATTAAAAGTTTAGAATTTTTTTTGTATTTGTTGAATCTTGTTTTTGCTGATTCAGTTAATTTTGAAAAGAAAGAAAGAAAGAAAGAAAGAAAGAAAGAAAGAAAGAAAGAAAGAAAGAAAGAAAGAAAGAAAGAATAGAAAAGAAAAGAAAAGAAAAAAGATTGATTTGAGGGCTGTCTCTGGAAGGCCTTTTTACGCTTAAAGCCGATGCTATCCCCAGACACCTCCAAGCTCAGGCTTTGATATTGACTCAAGTTTCCCCGTGTTCCCCCCTCTTGCAAAGGCCTCTTTCTCATGTATGGCTTGCCATCAGATGCAAAGGCAGTCTGTCCCACATTCTGGATTCCAAATCAGGAAGAAATTCTGCTTCTGGGCCTGTGCTCAGTGAAGTGATTGTCCTAATGGAACTCAGGTGGATGCCCAGAGACCACTAAGAGTATCTCTTAGCTTTTGGAAGCATCACTGGTGCTCCACCCAGAGCTCGGTCCTCTTCTGCAGACCCATCTTCTGTCCCGTGAGGCTCCCTGGGTCTGGGAGGACGCCATGAGCCTCACCCTGGCACTTCCTCAGACAGCACAGCGGGAAGACCGTGATCCTTGGTTCTGCTCTGGAGGTTTCCTACATAGGAATGTTAATAGCATCTATTGTGCAATTGCTGGCGCCTTCTATCCCTTAGGTAGCCATAGTTGCTGAGGTGGCATAGTTGGAGAGGTGTAGCTATCATCCCTTCACATATGCGGTACTTTTCATGTAACCCTCGCACATCACACACTTGGCAGGTGAGCCTCTCCCTGTTCAGACAGGTCATCCATAAAACACTTCCGGTTACTTTGAATTGAAGTTTGGTCTCTGTTCTCCCTTGTGATGGATTCTGTGGTGAGGGCAGGAGCTGTCACTCATTAGGGGCAGCGTTCCTGTTGCTGGGTGGAGCTAAGAGCCTGGTAGGGAAAGTCTGCTATGTGATGCAGGCTGGCGAGGCTCTGGTGTCACCATCAACAGGCTGGTGTTTTCATCATCCCTGGCACTGGACTGGCATTTCCCAGTCCTTTTGGTTTTAAGGCTCTCTCTGTTGGTTTAGAAACAATTTACCAAGAGTCTGCAGATTTGGAGCTTGTTCCTCTTTGGTAAATAAACGTTTATTGGAACAAAGCTACGCCCGTTTGTGTATGGGTTGTCTGCAACTGCATTCCAGCGAGTTGAGCTGCAACAGAGACCATGTGGCCGACAGCCTAAAATATTCACTATCTGGACCTTTAAGAAAGTTTGCTGACCTTGCTTGAGAAAATAATCCTTTTTCAGGAACAAAGCTTCCCTGGTGTATCTTCTCCTTTCCTCTGCCTCTTTCCCTCTCTGTCCTTTTCTTTCCTGCCCCTCCTTATCTTACCTCAACTTAATTCTTCCTTTATATTTTTTAATTTATTCTTGCAACAAAAGAGGTTACTTCATTGCTTTAACACATTGACTACCATCTCCTGAAACTTGAGCTACCTTAGCCTCCTATCTTCCTTCTTAGACTCAACCATCACGGTAAACAAAACGAGTCGGCCTGTGAGCAAATAGGAATTCAGAGTTCTAAAATTATGAGGCCTGGGTCTCTCATTTCACTCCCCCCTCCCCCATCCTCATCCCAGGATATCCTTTCCTTTGATCCTTAGAAAGTGGAAGGCAGGGAGGAGGTGATTAGATAGAGAAACAGATCTTACATCAACTGATTGCCTTTCGCATGCACCCAACCTGGGCCAGGGATCAAACTGCAATCGAGGGATTCGAACCTGCAACCCTTTGGTCTTGTGGGCTGATGCTCTAACCACTGAGTAAACTGGCCAGGGCTCATTTCACTATCATAGACCTGACACTAGACTCACTTCTTGTTTATTTTTAAAGTAAGTCAAGATTCTATCTTTTTCCAAATTATTTGAGACTGCATTTAGTTGGGTGTTCAGTTTTCTAAACCTCACATTCATATGGAAAAAGTCTTCAGAGAGAAAACAAAGTCTAATCAGAAACCCAAAGCATTGTTGATTGTATATTGTGGGCCAGCTTCTAGGAAAATAAAACTATAGGCACTGATTTTTCCCCCCCAATTTCCATACTCTTCTTTCAAAACAATTTTATTAAAGACAAGCCAACAAATAAAAATGTAAGTATGAAATCATGTTTCTTATGTCCATCACATTAGCAAGGCAGTACCTGCCTCCGAGTGGTTAGTACTCTTCCCTGTGCATGTTCCGGGGGGAGGGGGGGAAAATAAAAAGATTATTGTATTTAAAACAGCAGAATTGGGAAACCTTTGAGATAGCTATTAATATAACTCATCCCTTGAGCTGGCTACGCTCAGTAGTTGAGTGTCAACCTATGAACTCTTGTGAATTCATCTTCACACATGGCTACTGTTTCACATTATCCCTGAGTAATGTTTGTGTATTAATGAACAAGAAGCCCTGACCCATGTGGCCCAGTAGGTTGGGCGTCATCCCGTGCACCAAAGTTCGATTTCCGGTCAGGGCACATTCCTGGGTTGTGGACTTCATCC